AAAGGTCATGGACTGCAAAAGAACAAACAAATCCATCTTGCAAGAAGACAGAGTGCCCCTTCCTGGCAGGGATGCTGTGTTTTTTGGACATACTGTCAAGAGAAACCAGTCCCTGGAGAAGGATATTATGTTGGTAAAGGAGCAGAGAAGAGAAAAAGAGGAAGACCTTGAACAAGGTGGATTGACACAGTGGTTGCAACAATGAGTCAAACATCAGAACAATTGTGAGGATGGCACAGAACTAGTTTTGTTCTGTGGGACACAGGGTCATTATGAGTCAGAACTGACTCGATGGCACCTACAACAAGTGGTGCACTGGTTAAGCAATACGCTGCTAAATGAAAAGTAGGGAGTTCAAATCCAGTCCTTTAGAGAGAGAAAGATGTGGCATCTGTTTACCTTAGGAGTCTAGCTTTGGAAATCCTATGAGGCATTTCTACTCTGTCCTACAAGAGCATTATAAGTCAGAAAGAACTCATGGTAATGCTTTTGCTGTTGCTTTTAAATTAATCATTTACTGTATAGTTCTTGTTTATTTCTATTTTTATATTCTATTCTCAAGTTTGATAAAATGTAAGCCATACTGGAAAAGAAGCCACTTTAATCCTTATCTTTAAAAGCTATAAAAAATTAAAGCAATTCAACAAAAGACAAATAATCCAATTTTTAAAATGAGCAGAGGAAATGAACAAACAGTTCACCACAGAAAACACCCTAGTGGCCAACAGCATTTGAAGAAATGTTCCCCATTACCAGCCATTAGAGAGGTGCAAATAAAAACAAGGATGACGTACTATCTCATATTGGCATTGATAGCAAAGTTTAAAAAACCAACAAATAAAACAAAACAAGAAATTCTGGAGGGAATGTGGCGAGACTGGCACCCTCACAAACTTGTGGCAGGACTGTAAGACAGTACAACCACTGTGGGAAGCAAGATGGCACCTCCTCAACGGCCTGGAAGCAGAAATGCCACGTGACCCAGGAATCCCGTTACTCAGTACAGCCTAAAGAAACCAGAGCCAGGGCAGACAGAGATATATGCACACCTGTGTTCAGCACAGCTCTATTCCAATAGCAAGAAGACAGAAACAATGTGCATGCCCATCAGTAGACAAAAGGATAGGTAAACTTTGGGTTTTAATGCTGAAGGCTACAACTCCCAATGTACATACCATAGGCATTCGGACATAAAATAATACAGCGGCAATTTTCGTAAAGCAGAAAATACAAGAAATAAAAAACAGGAACACATTCACATTAGAATGCTTGAATAAATTTACCTCCATTCAAGAAAAATCACGTGAAAAAATAATAAAAATTAATTTAAAACATAATTAATCAGATCACTCACTCACTTACCATCACCAAGGTGCTCCCCACTCAGACTTACCCTCCATGACAGAGTAGAACTGCCCCTTTGGGGTTCTGAGGGTTAACTCTTTATGGGACCAGACAGACTAATCTTTCATCCGAGGCAGAACAGGTGTGTTCCTACTGCTGACCCTCCAGTTAGAAGCTCACGATTCCACCTTCATGGGTGTATATTTAACTCGATCTCCTGAACCAACAGAATCCCTTCTTTCAAAAGGCCACTAGATTTCTTTTTTAAGTTGGCATATATTAAACCATATTCCACTTTAATAGATTCTAAAATTTAGAAAACCTAAAAGCTTTTCCATGTGGAAATTGTAAATATCCTGTTGTTATGGATTTAGTTATGTCATCATGTATAAGGGTGCTGGATGGGGTGCAGGTCACCACCCTAATCCAATGTGAGCAGAGTTTTCCTGGGCCATGACCTGTATCATCTTTTAGATTCCAAGAAAAAAAAAGCATCAGACAGAAATCAAGGGACCTGACCACCCCCCAGAAATCAAGGCTAGCCAAGAACAAAATATGTCCTTGGAGTCTGAGTTCCCTGTGCTGAGAATCTCCTAGACCTAAAGGAAATTTGATCCCAAGACATACAGTGACCTCCAAGAGATGTTAGTAGCACAGAAGTGAAAGGAGACCAAGACCTTCCCTCGCAGCCCAAAGAGTGAGAAAGCCTTCCCCACGAGTTGGTACCCTGAATCGGAACTTCTAGCTTCCCTGTGAAATTAAAAAAATGTTAAAGTCATCCACTTGTAGCACTAAGACAGAATTTGGGGTGTTGTTCTAACAGAAAACTAAAACGTGGAAGCGGTTTTGGAATTAGGGATAGAGTAGAGGTCATTATGAGTCAGAATTGGCTCAGCACCAGCACTGGAGTTTTGGATTTTGATAGTAAAAAGCCAACCTTGCCTTGAAGAGACTGCTGGTGGAATCACAGACATCCAAGGCAAGTCTGAGGGGAGGTCAGAGGAAGGGAGGAGAGTGTAGCACAGGTGGGGACAGCGAGAGACAACAGCAGAGAAAGAGCACGGCAGAACCAGAAGACGAGTGTGAGGTGGTGTGGACTCTGACCCTCAGTGAGAGGACTGGCTGCCTTCAGGCAGGAGGCTTCTGAGTGGAGTTGGGTGCCTCCTGGAACGTAATGCCAGAGCTAGATTTGCCAACACTTGAAGCAGGAGAGCTGAGTGCCTTCTGGCTGGGGTTTACTAGTAAAGTATGGTGCCTCCGGGCAGCTTCATAACACTTCCCCAGTCGGTGAAGAGGCCGAGCCAGCTCTAGATGTCCAAGAAGGTGCCATTGAGTCCTTTTCAACTCAGAGTGACCCTCCATAAAGCCAAATGGAACACTGCACGGTGCTGCTCTGTCCACATCACTGTTGTTATCTGCAAGCCCATTGTTGTAGCTGCTGTGTTGATCCATCTAGTCAATGGTCTTCCTCTTTTTCACTGCCTTTCCCCACCTCCCACCCTCATGACCCCTTGATAAACTAAAAATTATTATTTTCATATCTTACCCCAACCCCTGTCTCCTTTCACCCCCATTTCTGTTGTTTGTTGCAGGGTGGGGTTATGCTTCGATCATTGCAGTTGGTTCTCCCTTCCTCCCCTCTTCCGCACACCTTCTCCCTACCCTCCTGGTATCAATACTCCTATATTTCTGTTCCTGAGGGGCTTATCTGACCTGGATTCCATGTGTCCTGAGCTCTTATCTGTACCAGTGTACATGCTCCGGTCTTGCCAGAACAGAAAGGCACAACTGGGATCATGATAGTGGGGGTGGGGGTGGGGGTGAGGAAGCCTCAAAGAACCAGAGGAATATTGTGTTTCATTGGTGCTATACCACACCCTGGTTGACTCATCCCTTCCTTGTGACCCTTCTGTGAGGGTATGTCCTATTGTCTACAGATGGGTTTGGGGTCTCTGCTCTGACCCTCCTCATTCTCATAAATTGTTTTCTTTTTGTTTTGGGTCTTATAATGCCTGTTATCTGATCCCATTGACACCTCATGATCTCAGACTGGTGTACTTCTTCCATGTAGGCTTGTTGCTTCTCTGCTAGATGGTCACTTATTTAACTTCAAGCCTTTAAGATCCCAAATGCTATATCTTTTGATAGCTAGGCACCATCAGCTTTCTTCACCATATTTGCTCATGCACCCATTTTGTCTTCAGTGATCATGTCAGGAGGGTGAGCATCACAGAATGCCAAGTTGTTAGAACAAAGTGTTCTTGCATTGAGGGAGGGCTTGAGCAGAGGCCCAACGTCCATCTTCCTCAATGTATTGTCATATAAATATATGTACATAGACCAATACCTCTATTTTTATGAATTAATATATTTATATAAGAGCACACCTATGTTTATACCTCTACCCATAGCTTTGCTTCCTAGATCTTTCTTCTGTTTCCTTTTACCTTCCTTCTGCCCCACCATCACACTCACCCTTCTTCTGCCTCTTAGTAATTCCTCTCAGCTGTTGCTCCAACACCACCGGGATCTCTATGTCCTCCTCATTGTTGATTTTAATTCCCTAGCTGTTCCCCTGTCTATGGCATTATTTACTTCCCACTCCTTCCCCTACCTCCTCTGCCTATCTCTTAATATCAGGAGCACCAGTCAGGTGATTCTACCTGGATGTCATCTTGACCCTCTGATCTGCGTGATCCCACCTTCCTTATTAATGTCCAACTTTTACATGCATATGAAGCATATTTGGGTCATGTGTAATTCAGTCCTTGAAGTAACATCTTGCTTTTCAATCCTCTAAAGAGGTCACGTGCAACAGATTTATACAAGGCAATGCTTTGTTTTCTTTTATTGGGTTATAATCTGTACAGATGAGTTAAATCTTGATCTTCATCAGCAAGTGCTTCATCCTTTGGATATCTCTTTATGTCTTGGCATCAATCTTCCTAGAGATCTAGGAGGTTCTCAGCACAGAGAACTCAGATTCAAAGGACATGGTTTGTTCATGGCTATTCTTTATTTCTGGGTGATAATCAGGTCCCTTGCTGTTTCTTTTTCTCTTGGAAGATAACAGGTGATACAGGAAAACTCCCCTCACATTGGATTGTGGCTGGATTAATCCTCCTCACTTTCAGCAAGATATACTACAGATTGTTAATAAGCCTTCCTTCAATCCAAATGTCACGTTCTTCTACATATAATCCAGTGTCTCTGATTATTCGCTCAGAATACACTTAAGTATCCAACACACACCTTTCCTGATTTTAAACCATGTAGTAGTATTCCCTTTATCTGTTCACACAAGTGAATCTTGATTCATACGCAGATTCCACACAAACACAATGAAACGTCTGGAATGCCCCTTCTTCTCCAGGCTATCCCTAGTTTGTTATGATAGGCTGGACAGCATTGGAGAGATCCAAAGGAATGTTTGTGGACAAAAGTCGAACAGCTGATGATAGTAGAATAAATACATAGACATGAAAACATGTAACTAACATTTGTAAGCATTCTTGTGAAAGATAACATCACTCTTTAAAAACAAGGACTTATGAATAATTCATCTCTTAAAACTTAAATATTGTATTTTGAAATTGCATGCAGCAAAGAAAGCACATTATATGAGGGGAAAAAGTGCTAAGGAAAACTCACATTACCTGGGAAAATTGCCTGTGGTGAAAGTAGATATTTCCTGCATTAAAGTAAGCCAGGGAGTACTCGGGGTTTAGAGAAATTGCTGCTTGATAGTCTTTCATTGCATTTTGTTGTTGACCCATAAACTCATGAATCACACCACGATTTGTTAAGAATTCTGCTGTAGTATTGATCTGCAATATAATAGTATGAGTACTTAGCATCTGGGAATAACACTTATCTCCTATTTCATGTCTGCAAAAAAATGAGCATTATGAAATCTACCTTGTGGGAAAAGAGTAATTTTATAGTGCAGGTATAACCCTATCAGAGCAAATATTTTGAGAAAGACTGTAGAAACTTGGTTCAATGTCAAGAGTTTGTTGGTTTGGTTGCAACAAGACAAATAATCTTGATGATTTATTCCATTCCTTTCCAAGAAATAGACAGAGTGAGAAAAAGCTTGTCTGTTAATCTGTTAAGCTAGACAAAAAATTAAAATGAATGCTTATCGTGTTTATCCATCCATTGTAATAGAAATTCTCTTTCAGCTCTTTCCTTTTTCTCATCTCAAACATTCCAATACCTGCCCAAATCTGTTGAAACAAAACAGAAACTCTAAGTTCTAGAATAATATAAATAGATCTTTTTTACCTTGATGGCAGCATTAATATCCTGAATTGCAGCAAAATTATTCCCCATCTGAAGACATACCATAGCTCTTCCTTCATACGCTATATAGTTCTTTGACTCAATTTCCAGGGCTATGGTAAAATGATTCCAAGCTTTCTGGAATTTTTCTTGGGCCTAAAAAAAATTTTCATTTACATAAAGTATGACATTGCAACATGACAAATGTTTATCATTCTAACTCAATCAAATAAACAATATAACTCAATCAATATAAACAATATGTTGATATCGTATTAAAGCTGAACTGTGTTAAATAAGAAAGTAGTCTAGACTATGAGCACATTCAATTAACTAATTGCTTCTGAGGACTGACATGTTAATTAATTGAAATAAATTCAAATGTCAGTCCTTTCTCGTATACTCATCCTTTTCCTTTGTCGCACTCATATTTTAGTTACATAATGATTTGGACGGTGGTCCAAGTACACCGTGTTCATTGTTACATCCTCAGGCCTAGAGATGTCCACACAAGCTCACTTATTTTTAATGAAACCAATATCTGTTTCCTATATGTGAAATTCATCTGGGGAAAAAAATGTAAAGCCTGCTTATAAGTGTGGGGTGAATTAGGGAAGGAAGCAGTTACTAAGGAAAGTCAGATTCAAACAATCTTTCCCTACTACCTTACTTAGTCCTCAGACAGCTTTCCTGTACCGAACCCCTGACTCCCCACTGATACTCTGAACACTGAAAATAAGGGAAAGGTAAATTGTTCATAACCAAAGAAATTAAATTAACTCTCATCTCCAGTAAGGAGCCAAATATGTACTTTCTCTTGTCCAGAAAGTTCTGTCATGGCCCAAAATGTTCTTATATAATATTACCTGCAAATTATAGCCTAAACTAATTCTGGCTTTTGTGTGCATTGGATTAAAATGCAACGCTTTCACAAAGTCCTTCTGTGCTTGCTTGGTGGCCTCGTTCTGATCGTATTCCATGTAAGCATTTCCTCGTCCGACATAGGCGTCCACAAAATGTGGATTGATTTTAAGAGCATTAGTGAAGAAATTGACAGCATCTTCAAACTCATCAATTCTGGAAAAAAAGTTGGGGGAGGGGCGGAGGATGAAGACAGGTAAGCTTCTTGGCGAATTGTAGAAGTTCTTTCCCATGTATAACCTTATCATAGGTTTTCACTTTTTAAATCTATTATAGGAGGTTTAAGAAAAGAGAGAGAGAGAGCCAGTTTTGTAGAAAGAATGTGTTGAAATGCGAACCTGGAATCCTTGTCTTCAGAATTTTTCACCTGAAAGGTATTCTGTTTTTAATAGCCATCACTTGCCAACATAGACTAACACCTAACACAGCATCATTGAGGGGCTCAAACAAACCAGCAAAAGACTCACCGCCATCAAATGGATTCCAACTCACAGCAACCCTATAGGGCAGAGTACAGCCGACCCCGTAGGTTCCTGAGACTGTGACTCTTTATAGGAGTAGAAAGCTTCATCACTCTCTCAAATTGATGGACTATATTATTTCAATCTATTTTTAAATGTATTTGCATGTATTTTCCTTGTATAGTGAATGGAACCAAATGTTCATTGCATGGAATTCTTAAGATGAAATTCTCTTGTATCAAGTCAGCCCAACTAATTATGGATACCAGAAGAGAACAAAAGATAAAGTAAAATGCATTTTACTTACTAACTTGTGAAAATACGTAGCTAAGTGAGAACTCTGTGGTTTCTTCTGTCATGATTCCCCTTGTGTTAGGAGCAGAGCTGGTGAAGGAATTGGGCATCTCACAGTTACGCCGACTCTCACGTAGCATGGAGACTCTAGGTCTGGTCTCTGAAGCGATGAGAGAGCTAGCTACCTGGGGTAGCTGCCTCTTTACCTGGTACTCTGCTGAGCGTTTCACACCTGCTCTCTCACTCCAATAATTCTGTAAGCCACTTACAGTCTCCATTTTGACAGAGGAAAGAGACTCAAGTCTCAGACAAGATCCCACACAGCCAATGACACCGGAAAGACCACACAGGTTGCACAGTGTAATACCTGGAATTTAAACTCAGGCAAGCCTTACTCCAAAATCCATGCTTCCCACACCACTGTCTCTTATCACACATGCTTCACCTTTATTCTACCCCCAGTAGGTGCAGGAGAGACAGAGAGCTAGCACTTCTACAGTACAATCAGAAGGAGGCCTTGAACTCAGATCTGAGGCAGAATACCCCAAGATACTAGTTCTGCAAGGTTGTGATGAGAACCAAATGAGGGTATCCACAAAAACAACGCACAGGGAGGTTTGGCGAGGTAGTGGTTACAGGTTGGGCTGCTAGCTGCAAAGTCAGCAGTTTGAAACCACCAGCCAGCTCTGAGGGAGAAAGAATAGGCTTTCTACTCCCCTAAGGAGTGACAGTCACAGAAACTGACAGGGGCAGTTCTACTCTATCCTATAGGGTCACTATGAGTCGGCATTGACTTGATGGGTGTGAGAGAGAATAAATATTATCTCCCTTCAGCTTTTTTCAATATGTCTCAAATTAGGTTCAACATTTAATAAGATGCATCACAACTTTTGTACATTTTTCCATTTATAAAATACAAGAAACCTAGGGAATGTGCTCTAGAAATAACAAGTACCTAAATATTACTCAGAGAATCAAGGCTCAGAAAATATTACTCAGATATTAAAATACTACTCAGATATCATATAGATTATAACTCAGGTAACATCTGAAAACAGTGTTCCCCAAACTTCAGTCCCTCCTTCATACTAGTTGGGTCATGTTCTACCCACACTACCAAGTTGAGTATATTTCTTCATATCAACTTATGATTTTAATTCATACATATATTTGACATAAATTCATCGTAAAATACAGGTGAATAATCTCACTGGAGGGTTGTAGTTATGCAATCTGTTGTCAACAATGGTTAGCACCCTTAGGTGCCAACCAAAAGATTGGAGATTCAAATTTACCCAGATTCGCCTAAGAAAGGTGTGTGTTCTGAAAACCAGCCACTGAAAATCAGATTTCTACTCCGGCACAGATGGGGTTGCCAGGAGGAGGAATTAACTAGCTGGCAACTGATCAGCATCCCGACTATAAACTCAAATCAGGGACTAACAGGCACCCTAAAAGGATACCCCAGTCTGCAGAAAACGGAACCCGAGGACTCCTCAATCTACTGCAAAGAAAGGATGGAATGTGTTAGCAAGTCTTGGAAAGATGTGAAAGACATCAGCTTACATTTTCTCCTTAATTTACTAAGATTTGAGGAAGGATTCCCTTTGAATGTGACAAGGAAAAGGAATTCCATTTTTCACAGTGTGATCCAAATCTTGTTTAATGCTTGTCCTTGCACCATAACAAATCAATGAGCTAGGCATGACCCCAAAAGTGTGCGTCTAGCGTTCTGCTTGGACTGCTCACAAGAACCAACAGTGAGGCACTAGTAAAGCTAGCTTCGGCCATCCCGGACTGGCAGAGGACGGCTTTCACACCAACAGCCAGTTAGTGCCTTCTGGTTCACCCTGTGCGTTGTCACTAAAAAAACATAGGCTCACTTCCCTTTAATAGTTCACAATGAAACTGCATTCCTCTTTCTTGACAATTGGCACTATTTGAAAAGTAAAAGGTCACTGGATATAGGGTGACAAAACCCTCCACAGCTGCTTTCTCATTGTATTACACAAATAAGTCTAAACATAGCATAGTAAATACTTTGACGGGAATAATAAGTTCATAGTCACTTTGTAATAAATGCACTTAGCTGCTAGGTTTGGGTATGCATGTATTTCTACCTGTGGGTAGTGAAATGTTTACTTAGGACGTATCCCTATAATGATCAAGTAACCTAAAGTTTCTAGGACAATCCTAGTTCTCTCACATTTTCTCCATACATCATTGAACAGCTTCCTAGTACACCTGACATCCAGACTGCATCAGACATACTTCCCCTCTCACCCAGGGAAAGATTAAAATCCTTTGAGTACATCATCTGGTATAAGGTTTATAAAAATAATTACACACCTTTGTATAGCCTTGCCAACTGAAGAAAACAGAGAGGCAGGACACTGAAGTTCACCAACATGTTGCATGTTGCGACTGAAGCTAATTTTTAACAATCTATCTAGTTATCAGCACTAACATTTCACAAGCACTTAGTCTGTTCAGACAAAGTAAATAACCATTAAACCTTAAAACTGGAAAACCAGTTTTCCTAGAGTCGCTTCCATCTGGTGGTAAGGCCATGTGCTAGAACAGAATGTGCTTCCATCGGGCGTCCAGTGGCCGCTTTTTCTGAAGTAGATCACCAGGACTTCCTAGCCAGACTTGCACTTTACAGCTAAGAATGACTGAGATCAAGGTGAGGAGTATGCCACAGACAGAGACTGCCCTGGTCCTTGCACCCACAGGGACCAAACAGGAAAAAAAAACCCAAAACATAGAAATAGGTACCGCTGTAGAAACAACCATGTTATTTTGCTGGAGATGTGGGTTCTGCACCGCATGCTGCAGCCTGGGGTGCCTGTGGAGTGCCGACTCATCAGCTAGTCAGAATGTGCTAGTAAATGAGTTGTTTTTCATAATGTGTTTGTAGAACTCTACAGTCATACCATCACTTACTGAAAGCGCAAGATTCTCACTACAATATCTTATTAACACTGAATTGTGTGCTGAGCTTGTGGGCCAGGCTACATACACAAAGGCCCACTGCATTTTCCACATGAGTCACATACGTGACCAGAGGTATCCTATTAAGTTGTACAAATAAATCACAAATACCCCTCCAAACTAAAGAATGTGGCTTGTAGAGTCAAAGACTCCCAACTATTTTATGCAAATATTAAGAATGGTAAAGTAATAAATGTCCTGAAGGAAAATCAGATATACTCATTCATACAGTTCTGAATAACCTGGCCCTCCCTCTGTGATATGTTTTAAAACACTCATATTGAGGTTGGTTTTGGTTTTTCAGAGTTGTAACATTTAAGTCTAGCAAAACACTCTGGACCACACTGAGCTGTAGGTAGGATAGTCAGCCTGAGGGATGTTGTTTCCTAGCAACCACAGAGTGAGACCCAGGGACCTAAAAAGGCCTACTTCAAAGTCTACAACCCCAAAAGTTCAGAGATCAAAGCCCTAAAAGTTAGTTTATTCCTTTCTTTAAAAATAATTTTCTAAATGGAAATGTTTTACTTACGCCTCTATAGGTGTCAATAATACCTCACCATGCTTAAAGAACTGCATTGCCCTGTGACAAATATATGATCTATAGATTGCCTTGAAAAAAATTCCCTCAAAATAAATATAACCAATCACTCAACATTCTTTATTCCTAAATTTGGTAAAACTCAAAAAAAGTGGAATTTTGACAGTGGATTGTCAGACTGTACTTTCATTGAAGGACAATACTCAAAACAAGTGGAATTTTGACAGGGGTTTGTCAGACTGTACTTTCATTGAAGGACATTAGCGAATCTAGTTGCCTAAAGAGAGCTGGTTATTTGGAACTGCAAAGCAGTAACAGCTTAAGCGGTTTCTTCCATATAAACCCAGTTATTACATTTCATAAAAAAGATTGTGATATGACATCTCACTGACTCTAATAGTTACTAAGCAGAAGAATGAGGCTGAGGGAAATTTGGGGGTCTGTTTTTGGTTTCAACTGAATGCAATTGCCTCTGACATTTTTGATCTACACCCACCCACCAAAGGCAAATACACCAGTCATGTGACCCCATCTTTTCTAAAGGATGACAATTCCGTAAAGTGATGGATTATATAAAGGTTGCTGGACTAAAGTAGACAATGGTGTTACTATGGTATTTTGTACAAAATTAAAAGACAGACCAGCTTAAAGGCTTTTAATGCAAAAGCATCTTCACAAGTTTGGGATATTATATTTTACATATGAAGGTACACAATATGTCCTAAAAGAGGAACGTTCATTTTCCAAACAATTGAAACTGTGATCCAGTGTCTATGTATAGGATATTTACTCAATCTAGTTTATATATTTTATGATAATGTATATATTCTATGCCAACTTCCTCTTCCAATTTAACTACACTTTTATTATTGTTTCTCATATGACTACCACTTGATCAAATAAAACTACCACTTAAACAAATAATTTTAACCATTTTAAAGCACTTTATGCTTTAACAAGCAAACTGGCACCAAAATAATTTTAGATATGAAATGCATACTGTATAGACAGAGATGTAAACATCATGGTATGCAAAGTTTATCTCCTATTCTCTGATTAGCTCAGAGTATATTTCAAGCTGATTATCTTCTGTATTTTCACATCTGTGATTATTCTTTTCCCTCCTCTGCAACTTATTTGTATTATAATAATCCCAGAAACAGGTAATCATGCTTTAAGTAATTTTGTGTGTAGCTATTAATATAGTCAATGTTATTTATTATTGTTGTTTTAAGTAGTTTGGGATTTAGAACTATTTTTCTTTAAATGTGGAATTTCCTTGAAAAGATATTACTTTACAAAATAACTCTCATCCAGTAAATGGGTATGGGGGAGTTTTATATATGTGTGTGTGTGTGTTTAGTTACATTTTAGGAGCCAATAAATTACTCCTAGATATTTCAAACTCTATGTAATTTTATTCTGTAAATTAACAAAGTCATGTCTCAGTGTATACAGCTATTCCACGATGCAGGTATACACAGGTGTGCTTCATTTAACAAGAGACTAATCTGAGCAATACAGGAACTGGCCTTGCCTGGTGTGCAGGTGGGACGAGCTGGGGCTGCCCCTCGGTGGTTGGGGACTTCACACATGCTTGGACTTAAGGGGAGAGTCAATGGCCCAAGGAACCCAGTCAGGGTGCAGGTTTCCAGTGTTTGGAGGGCAGCTGGTGGTGACAATCCTGGGTGCAGCCACTTCCTGATCCTGTGCAACACCACCCGGGAGCCAGCAGTCAGCAGTCAGCAAATGCCCCAGGCTAGGCCTGGCACCTGGGGCAGAAGGGAAGCAAGTCGCAGCTGCCACGCCCCAAGTGTGAAAGGCGGCCCAGCTTCTGGGCAAGTGACTAGAGCCAGTAGGTGGCACTGAAGCGATTGGGATGTGTCCTGGGCTCCACTGCTGGTCCTCTCCCAGTGCTCAGGGCTATAAAACCAGCCAGGGCAATATAATAAACAAAAAGGGAGTTGCTTTCTCTTGAGCCACCACCACAAATCTCTAAGGGACCACCTACTGCATGTGGTTGGACATGGATGTCCGTACATATATGATGCTCACCTATGTTCGTTGACTTCACTAAATTAAATTGTCCTAAAGTAGAAGGGTGTTAAAGCACACATGGGTGTCCCCATTTCTATATGGAGAATTTTGGACATTACTCTGTCTCTCTCCATTTTTGTACTCAATCACTTCCACGACATTTTCCTAGTTTTGCTATTTATTATTTCTGCTCATTTATGGGCAATAATTCAAAAAAGTTTTATAATCCCACTTACTTTCACTTCAACATAAATTGCATTACATACCTGTGGTGGCACATACCAGAAGCTTGACAAAGGTCCACATTAGTCTGGCTTATCAGCGCAGCTTGCTTAAAATCCTGAAATAATTTAGTAAGTTGTTAATTTTGAAGCGTTTTCTTTTGTGCTTTTTAAAACTTCCTTTACATTTTTATTCTACCATGAAAATATTTAACCAGAGCAATAAAATGAACAATTTTCCCTCCAAAAACCTCTTTTTTTCTCTCTTGATAGTACCTAGTGCAATCTATTGGATCAGGGGAAATGTCCACAAGCGTACAACTCACTCAGGAACTTGTGCTTAAAGACTAACCACTTTCCTGTAGTTTTGACCTCATAGGTGCTTTGGGGTTTCCTGCAGTTTTCTTTTTACTTTCTTCTCCAGTTGCATGCTGCTAAAGACCCCCAAGTAGATAAACCAAACCAAATCTGTTGCCATCGAGTTGATTGCAATTCACAGCTATCCTACATAGCAGAGCAGAGCCGCCCCCTAGGTCCCCAGGGCTGTACACCTTTGCAGAAGCAGCCTGCCTCAGTTTGGAAATTCACCTGGAGAGAATCTTTAGGACAAGGTGCACCCAGGTTCTGGGAAAGGGTATACTTCGGTCTCTGGCGTAATTAGCTAAGACTGCTGCCCCCTTGGAATCCAAGGTTCAAAGTTACAGAAGTCTGCTAGGATGGACCGAATGGCCCTGGGGAAGAGACTTTTTAAAGCAATAAAAGACTGTTTCAGAAAATAATAGTTGGCAAGAGACTCTGCTACTGTGGCCCATACTCTTTTCTCTAATAGGCACCAGAGCTGATGTGTCTGCAGCCTGTTAGTTTTTCAGAGCCCTATGCAAATATTCGAGTCCTAGATATCCCAAACCTCATCAAAGCAAAATAAGAAAAAGATCATCAAAATATTTAAATACATATCTATACATCAAAATGTTGAGTAACCTCCACACGCACCACACACACATACACACATAATGATGGGGGTAAAGATTTATTTTGCCATTTGCTATAAGGTGGGTACTCTAGTAAAGCCGTAGTGTAAGCTATAAGGTGGGTACTCTAGTAAAGCCGTAGTGAACCACAAGGCCCATGGTTCAAACCCAGCAGTCTCAACACAGGAGAACGAAAAGGCTATCTGCTCCCATAAATAGACTGAGTCAAAATCCACTCTACGACAGTGGATTTATAAAGTGGGAAGGGGTTTTCTAAAAGTGAAGTCTAGAGACACTGAAGGAATAAAAATGGCCCTGCTTCCTCTCAGAATACTCCTTAAGCAGGACCCTCTTGGGCAATTTTGATTGTGACCTCCCTTGAATAACTGAGCAGGGAAGAGAACCGCAATGTGTCACTGGAATGGCAACAGACCACGCCTCCAGGCATCACTCCGCAGGCTCACAGAGCATGTGTCGAAATTCTGGTTCCCACCCAATTCCCAAGGAGCTAACTATAATACTTATAGTTCACATTCCTCTTCCACAAACCGCTTTTTCTTTTCCTTCCACCACCTCCGGGTTAAATTAGAAAGAAGATGACTTCGGAGGTTTTCTGCCATTACTGTGAGTGGACGAGGGCGCTGTAGGGTCTTCCGTACTTCTTGCCCAGCTTTCCCACGTGTATGAGAGGATTGAAAATGCCGTAGCTCGGCTCCGTGGCACACCAGTCCTCAAAGTGATGTCTCCGCTTGCTTCCACTTTAAAGATGTCTTTGCAGCATGTAACAACCACTACGAGTTCCGAAGGGTTGCTTCCATGAGTGTTGAGTGTTCCATGATGATGTTGCTTATTGGTCCAGTTGTAAGGATGTTTGTTTTCTTTACCCATATTTGTAATCCAGACTGAAGGCTGTTGTCATTGATGTTCATCAGGGTGTTTCAAGTCCTCTTCACTCTCAAAGAGCAAAGTTGTGTCATTTGCATACTGAAGCTTGTTCATGAGTCTTCCTCCGATCCTGATTTTGAGTTCTGAATATAGTACAGAAGTGGACTGCTTCTTCCTTAGTCTTAGCCTGGAAGCACCACCGAAACCCTGCTGATGTTATTTCAAAGGCCAAAGGCATCGCTTTTTCCAGCCTCACAGCAACACACAGTCACCACAGTATGACAAACTGAGAGATGAGTGGGGTAACGTTGAATTATCACTCATTAATACTACCATTTCATAGTAAGAAACACTTGATCCCAATTTACAAATATGCAAAATCAAACGCATTCATTTTAATATATAAACAGGAAGCTCTTACCTCTAATGCTAAGCCATACTGCTGTAGTTCCGTGTAGATGCACCCACGATTGACAAAGGTGTTTAATGTTATCGTTTCTCCAGGATCGAGAAGGAGGACAATTCCATAATCTATTAATGCCTAAAAATAAGATAATCACTAACAACCTAGAGTCAACCCTTTGGCATCTCACTTCATTTTTCAAGAACAAATGTGTTTATTCCTCAACTACAATCTTATCGTTCTTTCATTAGACTTATAATTTAAGGCCAAAATAATCCTTAGTTAAATATTATAAATAATGCTACTATTTAATAAGTGGCACATGGTGGGTGCATTTCACATGTTATTTGTGAATCAAAAATATTTTCATTTGCAAGCAACTCCGGTGATATTATACTTAGTAAGCCACAGCTTGCTAACTGCAAAGTTGGTGACTCACCCCACAAGATGCTTCATGGGAGAAACTTGAGGCTACCTGCTGCCGTGAAGACTTACAGCCTCAGAAACACCATAGCCGGCCACTCGGCATCAGAATCAACTCAATGGCAGTGGGTTTGAATATGAGTTGACGGGGGAGGCTGAAAAATGGCCTCCCTCGGTAATTTCCTCAAATGTCTGTTGACATTAAAGCAAACCACTAAAAAAACCACTTGAAATTTAATTTCTCTATAGTGTTTTATTGTTTTTCTCACTGAAGTCTAAGGTATTATCAATTTTGTTCACTATTGTAGACTGTAACAAGTGCCATGCCTATACATAACAAACAATCTGTATGAATTTATTGAAATCATCAGTCAATTAAAAAAATGGGTCTTAAAACAAGCAAAACCTTGTTGGAAAATTACTTTGAAATATTTTATAATTCTACCCATCATTTTAAATATATTTGTCTAAGTTGAGAAGTAATCAACTCATATCTTTATTATTTACCTTTTCTTTTTTTATGATCACTGACATATCAGCTTCTTACTGGTCATCTCTCTACACCAGGAACTAGCAACATCCCAAATTTGGTTGGAACAAAAAACCTTAAATCATTTCCCACTAATATTTCATCCAAATGAGCCACATGATTTGATAAGAAAATAAATCTCGTATGCCTATAGCACATGTTAGCTGAAAATGGCAAATGAATCGTGCTTGACTATTTCATATTCTAATGTTTCATGACTGGGCACTCAAGTATCTTTTAAAAATGTACAATTCAAGAGCCTATATGTATACTGTGGCATAATTATAAATGAGCATTGGCAGGACTGCAAAATGATTAGTAATGCTTTTTAAAAAGAAAAAAGCAAACTAGAGTGTTAGCATAAAGGTTGTCTGAAGTTTTCTTTTAGAGAATCACAGAATGTAAAGTCTATAAGATACCTGCAAGATTCACTAGCCACTGACTGCGGCAGCCCCACATAGTCCCATATATATCACCAGAGGAAACAAAAACCGAGAGATAATCATGGGATGGGCATGGATACCTGGGTCAAGGCCTCTGCCCATTCAGGTTTTATATCGTATTACAACTTTTAGGTCTTATAAAATAACTTTCGGCTAAGGCTCAGTTTCCTCATATGGAAAATTGAGAAGTTAATCATTCATCATATTCTTATTAGTGTCTGCCTAAAAATATTTTCATTGATCTTTAGTAAAGCATTTGTGATTGTCACATAATATACCCCAAAATACCCATTTATAAACTATCAAGGGCTTATGAGGGAGGGGGGAGCGGGGAGGGAGGGGAAAAATGAGGACCTAATGTCGGGGGTTTAAGTGGAGAGAAAATGTTTTGAGAAACGATGTACAAATGCGCTTTACACAATTGATGTGCGTATGGATTGGGATAACAGTTGTATGAGCCCCTAATAAAATGTTAAAAACAAAACAAAACAAGTAATACCAGACCAAAAAACCCCAGCAAAAAAAAAAGAAGTGGTAACTGACACTATTTTTGCTAATATAGAGTCTTTATGAATCCCTGTTTTAGGAGAATGCCTTCGTGCATTTTCTGCAAACAGACAGACACTTGGGCTCTCTGTACCTAGCATTGGCAGGGGGGAAATAGACAAAAGGAGAGGACACTGGTACATGGTATCCAGTGCACACACGGGTGGTCAGATGGGTTTCTAAAGTCACCTAAAGGTTGTGTCAACCCAGAAGCAAACAAGCCTGAGAACAATGCAGCTCTCAAGCCCCCTTTGGAACGTGAATGAACTTTCTAACCTCTCCCTGCTTCCATTCCCTCATCTGTAAAACGACAAGTTGGAAGAAATGCTTTGGGTTTCTACGAGCTCTAAAATCACTAATATTTCATTTTGGTACCACTGTCTCATCGTATTCAGGTAGTTCTTCATTTTCTTTATTAACGGAGCATGGGCTCCTTCGCAGACCTGAGAAAACCAAAAATCGGAGATTGTTTGCAGCTGCAGCTACCCAAATACTGCAAGCGTGGGGGTGGGGAGAGAGTTGTCAGAGACACCTGCTGTTTGGGTCACCCTGATAAAAGATGCTTTCATTAGCGCCTGGCATCTTAAGAACGCCATTGTTAAAAAATAAATAGTTATTCATTTGTCAACATTTCTGGGAGAAACTTGATAGTCTGGTTTCCAGAAATTCCCCATCCTCTTAGGTAGAAACAATGTTTCTTAACGTCTTCCCTCCTGTAGCTTGTAAATCTCTAACATTGTGAATGTTCTAAACCTACTTAATTGTCCAAGTTTCAAGGAGATGGGAGAGTGTGTCCACCCAAACAGCGGAAATGTGAGATGAGGAAAATCTCTTTGAAAAGAATGCTTCATTTACTGCAGAAGTGGGGTAGAAACAGGAGGAAACAAATGATCACAGAGAAAGAGAAGCAAGAAGGTGGGAGATCGCAGACCACCTGCCACCCCATTGAGAAATCCTGACTGAAAAGGACTAAACCCACAAGGGGGGGTGGGAAGGAGCCGGTATTGTTAGAAAATAGAAAAGAGGGAGGCGCAGGTAGAAACTGATCAAGACAAACGGAGAAAAAAGGTTTACTGCAGCCATCAGTTAGGCTCTTCCCCGATCCTCCAGCTACCTCTGGTTACTGGTCCCCTGAGCGGCAAACCATCACTCAACACCGTCCGGGAATGGTATGAAAAATACCTCTAAGAACTGCTCTAGCAAATGATGACATTTTGAAGCAACAGTATTGTTAGTAATCAGTGCTTAAATTTCTTTTTCCAGCATACCAATACCATTAGAAATATTTACTCAAATGAGTATTCATGGTATAATATGTTTTCCTTTATATCGGCCTTTAAATGCTTATTCAAAAATGATAAAATTAAATTTTCATTTGCCTTATTGCAGAAATCATATACTGAAATTTGATGAACACTAGCAAATAAATATTCTTTGAAATGGTTCTCTGGATTCTAAAGATGTTTTGTGTGTGTGTGTGTATTTCCATAGTGATTATTTTTCACAATTATACTAAAAGTAATGAGAAAATGCTTCACCCAGAACTTTAACAGAAGCCCAAAACTATCCACGCATAAATAATGCCAATTGGTAGAGTACGTAGTTTAAATAATGAAATTTCTATAAGCACGTTGTTTTATTAAAACGGTAATCTTACCATTTGAAGTTCATTTATTTTGGTGTAACATATTGCTCTGTTATAAAACGCAATATAGCTGTTTTTGTCCATCCTGATTGCTATACTTAAATCTGTAATCGCTAGTTTATATGTCTACAAAAAAAATTAGATGAGAAGGGTCAATCAAAATGTACTGAAGTTCAATTTTAACATCAAGTCTTGATTCTATCAGGAATTTTTGAACACTCATTTAACCAGCCTGTGTATCACTTGTGAAATTAAGACAACTCAGAGTACTCTATCAATTAAGAGAATCTCAGAGTAGGGATTATTATAGTTCCTTAACCTGTGGACAAAATTAAATATTTAAACAACTTAAACTCAGATGATTATTACCAGTGTTGCTATGCAGGCAAAAAGAATATTAGCTTTCTTGTGATCCAGGGAAACAAGCCAAGTTCTTCAAACAACCACCAGAGCTTACATCCTGTGTCAGCCATGCTGTCACATGACACAATTATAATGTTTTCTACCACTGTCCCTTTTGCTTACTCTTTGATTCTTCTGATACTTTAGATCATCCATTTCTATAGATAGCACTTTTTATGGAATTAACATGTAGAGCAAGGTCTTACTTTTGTTTTGAGGTACTTGTAAAATATTTTATATGAAATAACTACAAAGAAAGGTCAGAAAAGCGAATTAGGGAGAAACAAACTATTCCTGGCTGTATCAATGGCGCTACGCACAGACTGGATGATCCAGTAATTCCCAATAAAGAACTAATCATAAATGGAAGCAATGATTTTGTACTCCATTGTGCATAACTGTATTCTTTTAAATGGAAACATTGAAAATGATCCAAATGTCCAACAAGAGAGTGTTCAAAATTATGCAGTTTTTTTTTTTCAAAAACCCAATATCTTTAAAGAAGGACACAAAACATTATGTAAGGAGCACAAATATATATCATGAATCATCAGAAGAAAAATAACTAATGTGCAACATGCAACAAGTAATTTTAATCTCCCTTAATCCTTATTATCTGTATTCTCCAAATTCTCTATAATGAGCATATACTATCTTCTTTAAAGTAGTTAATGTTATTTAAAATATAAATGTATTTCTTTGGTGAAAAGTTATGAGTTAAAATCTCTTTTGAAGAACTGCAAAAGAGTATTTTCTACCGTTCCTTCTTTCATACCAGACGACTCTCCTGTCACCAGAACAAAAGGAAGTACTCTTGCACCTGGGAACCGGTCCCATCTACGATCTCGGTGAGCAAGAAAGGATACCGCCGTACCTTCTTGTAGTATTTCAGCACTCCTCTGTAGAGATAGGCATGGATGCTCTCCGGGTAAATTTTGATGGCCTCGTTACAATTTAAGATTGCTTTGGAATATCTGCCTTTCAAACCATAGTAGGCTACCCGGCTTAAATATGCCTTTGCAGAGAAAATAGAGGAGAGCAGGAAGGGATGTTTTAGTAATACCATCAATTTTACGAAAAAAAATATGTACTTTGAACACATCAAGGCACCCAAAGATAAAATAGGAGCCTTTTTCCCATTTGTATTATAAAAAAGGCGCTCTGGTGGCATCACGGGTTAAACAGTGGCCTATTAAACACAGCGTCATCTATAGTTCACACCCATCAGCTGCTCTGAAAGAGAAAAATTAGGCAGTCTGTCTCCATAAAGATTTAATGTCTCAGAAACCCCGTGGAGCAGTTCCACTCTTTCCTTAGAGTGGCTGAATCAGATTCAATGCAAAGGCAGTGGGGTATAAATGTGGTTGACACAATGGAGGGATGGATGGATGGATGGATGGATGGATGGATGGAGTGTGATAAGAGCTGTAAGCGCGTTCATGCTTCGGCGGCACATATACTAAAAAAAGCTCTAAGAGCCCCCAATAAAATGATTTAAAGCAGCAGCAGCAGCAGCAGCAAGACTTCTGACATTCCTGGAAAGTACTTGTAGTGTATTGTAACAAAAATGGATATAATTTCATATAAATTGAACCTATCTACTTTTTGCCTTTAAAAATTCCCAACAAGCAGAATAGGTGAAAAAATAATACAATGAATCAATATACTTGCTTCCTAGATTCAATAATTTTTAGCATTTTACTACATTTGACTTATCTAATTTTTACACTGAAAATACATTTTAGATGTAATATGTTTCACCCCAAATACTTCAGCATGCATCATTCATAAGACACTTCTCTTCAAAAACACAATGCCATCATATATCACTGGAAATGAATATTAATTCTGTAATTAATTAATTCTGCAATATTCGGTCCTAATTTAAATGTCCCCAATAATGAACAAGGAAGGTGTGTTATGTTTTGGTTATTAGGTGCCGTCAGGTGGGTTCTGACTAATGGAGACATAGAGACCCAGGAAAGACACACTGCCTGGCTCCACAATCACTGTTTGAGCCCATTGCAGTCACTATGTCAATGCATCGCATTGCGGGTCTTCTCTTTTCACTGACTCTCTGCTGAGATGTCATTCTCCAGGGACTAGTCCCTGCCACCAAGATGGCTGAGTAGGTGAGATGAAGTCTTGCCATCCTCACTAAAAAGGCGCATTCTGGTTGTACAGACTTATTCATTTTTTTGGCAGGCCCCGGTATAGTCAATATTCTTTACCACTACCATAATCCAAAGTATACATTTTCCATTGATTCTCTTTACTCATTATCTGGCTGTGCATGCCTGGGAGGAAATAGAGACTATCAAGGCTTTGATCAGTTACACTGAGTACTCAAGGTGACAACTTGGCTTTTGACCACTTGAAAGTAGTCTTGTGCCGCAGACTTGCCCACTGCCATACCTAGTGTGACTTCCTACTGCAGTTGCCATGGGGATTTACTGTGAGTCCAAGTAAAATGACATTCTAAAGAACTTTCAAATGGTCTTCATTTATTATGATGGCACGTACTGTCCCCATTGTGAGTTTGGTTTTATGCTGAGGTGTAATCTCTGCTGAATGCTATAGTTTTTCATTTTCATCAGTAAGTGTTTCATAGTTTTAAAATAGGGTTACATTACCATGGGGGTGGAGGTGGAATGCTCTAAAACTGATGTGGTAATATTTGTACAATTCTCCTTCATCTGATTCAACAATTGTAATACTGAATTGCATGATATGTAACATATATGCCAATAAAACTACTGGGGGAAAAAAGTTTATTAAAAAAAAAGGAATCCTGATCCTACCTTTTTGATATAAAAAAATAAAATAAAATAAAACAAGGTCATATTAACTGGACTTCCTTCTAGGTGTGTAGATATTTATTATCTTAAAAGATATAGCATTTTATTTCATGAGATATTCCTTTTGATAATCTATTGTAATATATTAATAGATATATGTAATATGAATAAGAGATTCATAATGTATGTATTAAATACTTATAATAGATTGTTATTAATGGGTTTAAATGTATTGATTTAATACATTTAAATCAACAGTAATAAATTATTAATATACTAAATACTAATACTCTTTATATATAGCACAGCTCACAAAGGACTTTTATAGAATTTCCTGTTTCAAATCATTCTATTGAAAATAATCCATTTATTTCAAAGAGGTAATACAGATTATTAAAATACAGTTGGTTGAAAAGTAGGTAAAAATAACCAGCTCCTACTAGCTAGTATAAATGGCATGTAATTTAAGAATTTTAGCGAAGTTAACGCACTTTCCATTTCACTACAATTTTCATTTAAATACCTGGTAATGCTTTGGATTGAGGGTAATTGCACGATTAAAATCCAAGATAGAGCTACTCCTATGAAGCTTTACTTTACAAAGTCCTCGTTGATAAAATCCTTCTGCAAAATCAGGATTTGCTTTGACAGCTTTTGTAAAGGAATCAAAAGCCTAGAAGAGCATATCATTAGAAAGCAAGCCATTTGGTGAGTACAATACATCACTTTAAAATATTAGCAAGTTACAGCATATAACTGCTTTTTGAAAATGTTTCAATCTATTTTAAATGTAGTTCTTCCAATGACCAGTAAAAGTAATATTTGTAAATAAATCAAATGTTTTATTATAATGGTTGGCCCACTATTCCAAGACTAAAGTCTACTTAATTAATTTTGTTTGATTTTATTTTAGCAATATAACTTTAACCATTACTCTTCATACTGTATGTTTTCAAAGAAATCAAAGCCAACACATTTATTTTCCATGAGGATCCTGAAACTTTAGTAAATCCATAGTTTAAAACAGTAGAACTTCAAAATCATTCCCAACATTATTAAGAAAAACAAGAATTATTCTGACTGGCTGTCCAAAAACCTAAAACTATTCAAAAACATTTACATTCATGCTTATATTTACTGGAATTTTGAATGGAATAACTACTCGAGTGCAAATCTTTTTTTTGAGACTATAGGTATTCGAGTTTAATACACTGCACTAAATATAAGTTATAAAATTATGTGAGTGAAGGAAGGCCGTGGCCATCCCCACCCTCCAGCAAGGTATGCCCAGCTGCCTCCAAAACCTAGTTTTCTTTATTAATAAATCATTTTCTTGGGGGCTCTTACATACATCAATTGTATCAAGCACATTTGTACATATGTTTCCATCATCATTTTCAAAACATTTTCTTTCTGCTGGAGCCCTCTTTTTTCCCTTCCCTCCTCTTTTTTCCCTTCCCTCCCCCTACTCTCCTAGCCTCATGGACCCCTGATAAATTATAAATTATTATTATTTTCATATCTTATACCATCTGCTGTCTCCCTTCACCCACGTTCTGTTATTTGTACCCCTGTGGAAGGGTTAAAATGTCAGTAATTATTGTCAATTCCCCATTTCTCCCCCACTTTCCATCTACCCTCATGGTATCAGTACTCCCATTAGTGTTGCTGAGGGGGTTTATCTGTCCTGGATTCCGTGTGTCAAGGGCTCCTATCTGTACCAGTGTAAATGCTCTGGTCTATCTAGATTTGTAAGGTAGAACTGGGGTCATGATAGTGGGGGCTGGGGATGGTGGTGGAAACACTAAAGAACTATACGAATGTTGGATGTTTCATTGGTGCTATGCTGCACCCTGGCTGACTTGTTCCTTCCTTGTGACCCTTCTGTGAGGAAATGTCCAGTTGTCTACAGATGGGCTTTGGGTC